TGCCTCCTTGAGCAGATCAAAAATATTACCAAAGTGTTCCTTGTTCCAGGAGGAGAGCTTTCCTTTGAGGTGTTGAAGTTTAGAGAAAAGACAACGCATACCCCCAAAGTAAGGCATTTCCTCCCAAGTATCTTTGCAAACCTGTAGGAAATCCTTCCTGAGTAACCACATATTCTGAAATCTAAAAGATTTGGGTCCTTGTCCACATCCTTGCTTAGAGGAGAAAAGGATAGGGCAGTGGTCACTGCCTCCTTTAGCTAGATGATGCATAGAGATTGATTCCCAGTGTTCCCCCCATTCTGCATTATAAAAAACTCTATCCAAACGTCTCCAAACATTACCATTGCTCCTAGAACCATGCCAAGTGAAGTGAGGTCCAGTGAAGCTGCATTCCTGAAGGTTGCAGTTAGTGATGCAATTACTGAAGTCAGAAATTGCTCCCAAGTCAGGCAATCTTGCTCCTTTGTGATGGAGAGAGTCTGAAATGCAGTTAAAATCCCCTCCAAGACACCAAGGGTGAGGGTTGAGGTTATTGAACGATGCAATGTTGTCCCAAAGAGCTGTCCTCTCCTTTGCACTATGGGAGCCATAAACAGTGCTAATAATAGAAAAGGAGTTGTTGTGTTTGTCCTGGAAGAAAAGATCTTCCTCCACATGTTTGATATGAATCCGCTGATGAAGGGTTTTAGAGACGTCGAGTTCAATGCAAACCCTAGCTGCATGAGGTCGGGAGAAATTCAGCGTAGCATGATCCACTTTCAAAGGCTTACCGAGGGCGGAGGTAATTTAGAACAAGGCTTTTTGATCATGGAGATGAATAGGAAGGTTGGGGATGGTGATCCAAACCGGGACTATAGGGGAGTCCTCTGCTGGTTTCAGGTTGGGAGACCATTTTGTGACAATCATGATATCCTTACCAAGAGTCCAGGATTTACGGAAGAAGAAACGCTGGTAGTCCTCATCCTTCTCAAAGTTGATGAGGATGGAATTCTGGTTAAGCTCCCCCACCGTAAATCCCCCTGCAAGACCCAACCTGGTAAGGAAATTCTTCACCACAGTGATAGGAGGACGACGCCTGAATCTTCCAATGAGTGCGAATCTGAAACGGTGGGAAAGCTCCTCTACATCTTCCTTGGAGAAAGAGATGGAAGGGCACCCTTTGAAGGACACATTGGCGGCTGGTTGGCGGTCGTCTCTTACCGTCTTGAAGAGATCGGAGAAGAGTTTGGACCTAGGAACCACGCCGGCGTTGAAGGCCGGAGAGGGCTCCGGGAAGCTAGAGAGAGAAACCATTTTCATATATGATATCATATATATATATATATATATATATATATATATATATATACACACATACACATAAGTATATATAAACATTTGAGATCAACCCAAAAATATGTATATATTAATCAAAGGTGTTTAAAAGACTTAAAGAAGTATTTTTGGACACTCAATATCAAGAGTAAGATTCGCAGACCCAAACGGTCGACGCAAACTGTCGACCGTCGCGTTAAACATCAAAACGGACCACGACTGTCAGCAAAACGGTCGACCGCCGGTGACTAACGGTCGACCGTCGCCTGCCCAGCCGAGAACCACCATCTCCATCCAGTCAACAATGGTCGACCGCCGGTCAACCGCGATCGACCGCCACGGTGATCCGTCAAATCCAACCAGATGAAGATCAAGGTCGACCGTCGCGCCAAACGGTCGATCGTTCCGAGCCCCGTAGCTTAATTAAATGATATTTTTTATCATATTTCACCCAAATAAAATAAAGTATATTTATCCATTCATATTGTTTACAAATTGTTCATATCATATGACTCATGTCATCACACATATTGTAGCATATCATATCATATGCATGCGTAAGAGATCATGCGTAATTGCGTCTCTTATAGCGTGATGTGCGGGACTTACTAGTCCGACATCACCCGTTCCGGGCTTAGTGTACGTACATGGTATTCAGGCTTCGAGTACCACCCCTATCTTTCTAGTCTCCTTTGTGAGACTAAGGCCGCGTGAGTTTGTCGTACCAAATGGGCGAATCTCATAGCGCAAGGGTGTCCTTGCTCGTTAGAAACATACAGCATGAAATCATCATCAAGTAAAATCATCATGACTGTGTGTGACATCAATTATGCATCATGTAATCATCATCAAGAACAATCAAATTGATTAAATTAAATGTGCCATCATGTAATTATCATTAAATATTTATCATCATGATTCATCAAATTGTCTATATGATATAATGTGTCATATTATGAATAGTATTATACATTTTATGGACATATATATATATATGTATATGTATATGTATATGTTTGTGAATCATTCTACAATTCTAGCGTGGTACCACTCAGCGGTTTCGATGAGCGTGTAGTTTGTATTTTTCGTTGACTACACGTAGGTAACAAGAAGACAATGATGGAACCATTCCCGGAGGGCATTGAGTCAGAGGAGATGCAAGGATGGCAGGCAAATGTTACTAGTAGTCTAAAATTTTACACAGTACTAAACTAATAATAACATGAAGGCGTAATGAGACTTTTATAAAAATTTACCCAGCGCTAGGTCTCAGACATTTAAACTATAAATATTCATTAACAGTAAAAGTTTACAGTTCGCTTTAAAAATAAATTGAGAGCAAAGTGGAATTAAGCACATTAAAGCCCAAATACGGATTTGGGGTGTTACAAGTTCAATGAGATCGGCTAAGAATATCTTTCCTTGAGCCATCAACGGACATTGATTATAGACATGTTGGAGACGTAGACTGTGTCCTAGTGGATTTGACACATGTACTGGATGCTTGAGAGTTTCCTTAGTGACGTTAGATGTAACAGGCATAGGTACACATATGTATGATAAGGTAGATCCAGGGTCAATTAATGCAGATACAGTGATATTGATAAGTTAGTTTTGGGTTAGTTCTTTTTATTCTTTTTTAGGCATTTTTATTATCTTTAGAGTTCAATTTTTAGTTGTTTAAGTTAGTTTTATTTTATATTTCAGTTTTGTAATCTTTTAATAAATAGTAGTTTTTTATTCATTTTTTTTATATTCTATTAGTTTTATTTTATTTTCCCTAACCCCAATTATCAGATATCTTATTTTTTGGAGAAAAGTGCAGCAAAAGGTTAAATTGAAGCTCAAGTTCGAAAAAAAGAGATTGAATTTGGGTCGGAGCCCAAACCCAACTTTAATGAAATTAGCCCAACCACTCCAACCAATCCAATTTCAGGCACCAGGAAAAGAAAGAAGAGGAGTCTACGACTCCTTCGTCGTCGTCAACGGAACGAGCATAAACCGGCGAAGCATTCAACACTCCAACGTTCGGCTCCATCAATTTCGTCGTGACAATCAATTGCCAACGGGAAGAAAAGCTTCGACTATAAATTGAGCACAGAATCACCATCGAGGAGGGGGGAAACACACGAGAATAAAGCAGCGGCCAAGCCGCTGCTATGGCGGAATCCAGCGGACATCTCTGGCGCGGCGGCGGACGGCCGGCAGACGCGAACCGGCGGCGGCATCAGTTCCGGCGAGCGGTCAGCAGTAGCTCCGGGCAAAGGTTAGGCTGTTCCTTCAAGCTCCAATTCCTCAATTTCTTCATCTTCTTCAACAATTGGTAACCCTATATGTTATTTCTTCAATTTTTTCTCCAGTTTTTGTAACGTGTTGATTTTAGTTTAATTTTTACATTTTTTATTTGTTAGCTTGTTCCAAAAATTCCAAAAATGGTTGGTATTCTTTATGGGTCTTTTATGTCTATATTAAATCCCTTATGAATGAGAATTGATTCAAACTAGTTTTTCTTCAATTATTGAGCAAGTTGTTGTTGAATTGGTTGAATTGCATAATTCGATTTCATAAGTAGGTTGGTATGTGAAATTTAGTTTTTGTTGAAGCTATTTTAGCTCCATAAGGTAGTTAAATGATTTCCAAATTCATATGTGATTCTTTGTCGTGCTTTTGTGTTCGTTGATTTTAAGGAGTTTGGACTTCTTAGCTCCATAAGTTGATTCATTCTCCTTAGAATTCGTTATTGAGTGATTGTTATGTTTTCGTGTGTTCGTTTGTTATTTTCATTAATTAAGGTTGTTTAAGCTCAAAAACAATTCTTGATTTAGTGAAAATATGTTGTGTTCATTTATGTGAATAGAAAAAGTGTCATTGGCTTGAGAAATTCATGGAAATCTGTGAAATATGCTCATCATTAGGAGAAAAAGTTTATTAAAATACATAAGGTATTGGCGGTTTGTGAATAGATTATGTATGAGAGTTGAATGCATAATAGATTCTCTCTTTTATAAACTTTTTCTATAGTGGAAGTATGTTTTCATGCTTGAATAGAGAGTTGGGGTTCTAAGGTATACTAGTATTTTACCCGTGCCACGCACGAGATGGAAGAAATACTTCTTTTACTCTTAATTTTATCTTAATATAGTTCTAACATCTCCTAAAGTTTATGAAATTAGTATCAATAGCACCTAAAATTGCTGTGATTTCAAAATGATGCACACACACATATTTAATCACTAGTATTTAACCCGTGCAACGCACGGGGTTTAGCAATATTTTTTGTCAATTCCAAATTTTTTAAGGTGTCATTCTTTTGGATTATAGTTCTTAGGATATGTTTGGTTGAGAGAAAAATATTTTTACAAAAAGTTCCAATAATTTATTATGTTATGTTGCATAAGTGGTAGGAAATAGTCTTTTAAGAAAAATATTTTCGCATAGGGGAGAAAATGACTACCAGTTGTTTTGGATTAAAGTTCATTTTCTTACTCAATCTTCGAATACTCTAATTCCTCGAGTTTATTCCCCCCACCCACCCTCATTCTCTCCCCTACCCCTGCCCCCGGCCACCCCTCCCCCAATGAAGCCCTTTGAATAGGTAATTTAAAGTTTTCCATGTAATATTTAGGTCAATTCTATAAATTATCTCCAATTTGGAATGTAATACAATTTAACCAAAAATAATAGTATCAATTTCCTTCTTAATACATAGTTAGTAATCGCATTAATGAAAAAAATCAATGTTTTTTTATTAAAGAAAATATATTCCTAATAGGATTTTTAATACTACCGACATCAACGTGAAAGTAGAATAAATAATACTGTATAATATTTGAAGAGTTGTAAGTGTACATGACAAAACGTTTTTTAAAATCCATTTTTTTGGAAGACTTAGGTATACAACATTTTTTGTATGGTTATAAGAGTTTCAATTCCATTATCATTTATAATCAATATTTTTAATTATGTCTTTGTGTTCACTCGTGAAACAGCAACATAAAATTAATAATAATTGAATACCAACATAGTTAAAGTAATCCTACAAAAAATAATGTTTGACTTACTTTTGTTAATAGTCATAGTAAAACATAAGACTGTTGGAAATTATTTTTTCCAAAACTTCAGAGTACATATCGGATGGTACTAAATCCATCAGGAATATGCAAAACTTTTTCCCGACTCGATTTCTTAAAACCACAATTGCACCGATAATGACCTTTCGTAACTATTCAACGATTAACATTATATCATTATACAACACAAATCTTCGCTCAATATCTCTCAATAACATAATCAGTACCCCTTTTCAAAATTATTTTGTAGTTTGAGATTTTTGAACATTTGATTTTATTCAAAAACTCAACTATTATCCAATCGTGATCAATACCTACGTCTGCATTTACTCGACATGAAAAATTAAAACTCAAATACTCCTTTTCATCATCAAGAATGAGGTATAGGACAAATCCATTTACTATTAGAAAAAAATAGTGTAAATAATTACTCCCCATCATTATCTTCTTGTTTTCCTATTTAGTTTGTCCCCGTTTTTGTTTTCTTTTTTGCATTTTTTAATAAAAAATTGTGTGATTCATACTCCATCCGTCCAACAATAAAGCTCTAGAAATTACCCTAAATAGGACTAAAACATAGAGGAATGTACCAAAATAGGAATTTTATGTTTTTTTCCAGAAATAGGACTTCGCATTGTGGTAATGTCACACTGTACATGTGCACATTACTATACTTTTTGGTAATGTACATGACCATGTTTGGTAATCTACATGCATTATATTTTAAGTCTTATTTCGAGAATAAAAACATGGAAGTACTATTTTGGTATATTTTCAATGTTTTAGTCCTACGTTAGCCTTTCTTCCATAAAGTTTGTATTCTTTATTCGATCATGGGTCAAACTTTATTCACTTTGTTGATCTACGGAGTATTTCATATCTATTTGATAAAACAATATAGTCATGTCACATCTAGTTTTGTAGATCTTTTCATATGGTTTTTAAATAAGTAAATTTTATTTTATAATTTCATATCATTTTCATATAAAATAATTTGAAAATAAATTCAATCAAACATCGTAACGTGCAACACAAATTTTATTTATGGACAGAGGGAGATTAAAACTAAATTCGGGGTCACATTAAAAACATGAGATGAGAAATCTGTGTAATAATGATATCCCGTACACCACATAGGATCGATCCTTTTTAGAATAAATCATATACGGAGTATAAGTTTGGTTATAAAACTCACATAGTAGTGTATATGGTAAACTATTTAATGCAAAAAAACATACAATGTATCACATGTAGAACTATAAGAATAGAATTCTAAGTAATATCAAATATACTCATTACACTCCTTCGATGTAGCAATGACCTTTGATCTGGTTGCATCAAGGAATTTGTTTTGGTCAGAACTTACAATATTCTCACATGACAACTTAAGAGGTTGTGGTTGAGACAACCTGCCAAACATGTTAATATGAAATGCTCCAAGCGACAAGCGACTGCTTGACAGTCCAAAGCACTCCAAATCGATCTGACTTCTCTCAGAGATAATTCCCTACATGTACTTGAAATTGTTGAATTAGATTAAATGAAAAATTCCATTTTATGAAACCTTGCTTTTAATTGGATACTCATGGCTCATGGTTAGGTTGGCAGATGCTCCTCTAGGGATAAGAATGGACTGCAAATTAGCATCACACCAAGGTTGTGCGCTTCAACTCTGAAATCATCTTTTGAGTCGCTATATAACACATTATTATTTTTAAAGCAACAACATATAGTAATTAGCATCTGCAATTACTATTTAGCAGTATTCGCCTGAATTACAAATAGGGAGGACATGTAAGAACATAGTGAGATTTCCTATAAAGTAATAAAACATGACCACAACAATGAGAATTTACATCTTAATAACAAAACTATGATGGAATGCATGACCATTTTGTCAGGCTCTCATATTCAAATGGAATGCTTATTAGGTAACTTACATTGTCATCATTGGATTCGGGAAACAACAAAGTCTCTTCTCTCTTGTTAGATCTCTATACTGAGGATGAAACAACCTGAGTATCATCAAGTGGCTCTGTGTATCTTGAATAGTGGTGCTGCACAACTCATCAACTTGTCCCATGACATGACAAAAACATCTCAACACCACACTACCCAAAATAAATAATTACTCTGTATATATAAAAATAACTAATGAAGGGGTTCAACAACAATGTATGCCTATAAAAGGCATGCAATCAACCGCTAGCAAAAGGTGGAAGGAAAACTCACCCAAAAAAAGATGAATACAACCTTGGATTTGCTTGGTCACCCTTCCTATTTCTTTCTATGAGACAACTGTCAATCCCACCACTCTTGTGATAGTTGTATGTGAGGTACCACCAACGATACACAAAGTTTGCCATGTTACCTTTTCAATACGCAGCAGATATTGGAACATTTTCCACACATACAATTCAACATCTATGCATAAAATTTCTTTTACCTCAAATATGGCAGAAGGATCTGACAAAAAAAGTAAATTTCACAATGTAATACTCATAGAGAACATTAAGAAATAAAATGCTAAAATTGTAAGGTAACTGATACTTCTAATCATTCGATTATAAACAATATTATATTCATATGAAAACGAATAAGAAAATTTATAGACTTAACTAAAGCGTGAAAATAAACTCTTAAGAATGATGAGTAACATACAAATCTTCGAATGTATCAAACAAATAAAGAATATATGGAATGGCGTTTCTAGTTTGGAGTATCAATGACATATGTTTATAAATATATTCAATAATGATCCAAATATATGTAAAAAATGTTTCATACTGAATTCTTGAAGAATCAAATATGGAGATTAGAAAAACGAAATACCTAAGGAGAAACGCCATCTCTGATCAAGGGTTGAGGACTCGATTAGAAAAACGAAATAACTAAGTAATGATCTCCACGATGCTTGGCTCCTACACCCATCTCTTATATGACCGCCACCAACTGGCCGAGAATCCTTGTTCAAAACTTTTATTAGGACCATTTGGTCACATCACTTTCAGGTTGGGGTGATCGACTATCATCAGATTAAATCATGCAAGACAAAGTAATAGAAATGTAAATTAATGTAGATAAAGCGGTGCACGTATGTAACTACTCTTAGGTTTCTAACAATAATTTTAAACATATCATTTTAAGGTGAGAGCCCACAACGACCGTGATAAGAACTATCATCAGATTGATTAAGACTTTTAAAAATTCAAGTTACAACTCTAGAGGCCTCGCAATTGTTTTCACGTTGTATGATACATGTGAGTCCATTTAAATGAAAGAAAAAGTTCAACGGACTTGCTAACAAATAAGCATGCTTTAAGGAAAACTTCAAACATTTATACAATGAGCTACTATTCCCAACAACTGCTAAATTCTTTTTTTGTTTATTTCTCTAGCAATTATGTTATGAGTGCAAAAAGATTAGTCTTAAAAATGTGACAATAAGTTGGAGCACTGCACATTCATTAAAAAATACTCGTATTCAAAAGAATAAAAAATGAGGCCTTTAGATTGAGAAAATGGATTCTCCAAACCATAATCACACAACCATCACAATACAAAGATGAATTGTTTAGTTGGTTAGTTTAAGGCCCAAAAGGAATTGCTGATTCATCTTCGTAAGTATTCATAAAATAGGGAGCAGCAAAGATGTCAAAAAGAGTACCACGAAATCAAGCCACAATTTAAAACTTTAGGAGATTGACTCTAAGTTAATATATACAAATAATAGAAATACAGAATAAATACCTAATATATATGGTAGGAGTACTTGGAAATTATAAACCAACAAACACCCAATATTTCTTTGGCTAATAAGGTTTGAATCCTTTTCTATGGAATATTTCTCCATTGAAGTTAACATGGCTCTGTTGCTTCTCAATAAAAAAAATATAACTCTTATGTAACCTCATGGTTTTATCTCAGAATGTATAGTCAATAGACTCTGTAATGCAGGAACTCTGCACATATATAGTCGAATTGACTTAGACTCTACACCATTATGTACCTAGCTACATCAATGTTTGACAAAGTTTTCTATTAAAGTCCTTAAATGATGCATAGTTTTAATTAGAATAAAATGCATACACTTTATAGTTAGCTTCTTGCACCACTCACATGCGTTGTATTACAGCCGTTATTATTGTTAGTGCCATATATCAAAGAATGACAAAAGAATGTTGCACCCCTTCCATATTAAAAAAACAGAACACATAAAAGACATTAAAATAATACAACTTCTAATTAAACTAATGCCTTATAAATAGTTATTATTAAAGGGTCATGTACTTACATCTTCAAAGTTAGAGCCAACACTACTCAGAATCTCTCTAATATTTTCCAACCTTGATAAAACCATGATTGTGTCCAACTCTTGCAATTGAATCAAGTGAGATTAATGATATGCTCAAATGCCAAAACGATACAACAGAAGCCAAAGTATCAATACCATAACTCATATCAACATATGTAATAAACATGAAAAAATATACAAACATATATGCACACATACTGGTTGGAGTTATTTTAGACAATGGATGGATGGTCTTCGACATGTATGGTCTAAAAAAGAAGTACGAATCTCGAAAAAAATATGCCTAAGGGGTGTGGTGGGTTGTTCTTGAGGAGAATGAATATATACGTAGAACATCACTCTTAGAAAAAGTAATTATTGATTTCTCCAATGTAATTATGCATAATACGATTCTAAATTAGGTATGTAATTCCACCCTAAATAAAGCCACAATTAATAATAGACGATATTACCGAAAACAATTGGGGAATTCCAGAGCCTAGATTCGGAAGTATATATGGAATTCGAATAAGAATTACATACAAATTTTGGAAACAAACCTGATTTTTGAATGAATAAGTGGATCTTAACGCCGTAGGTTTTGCTAATTAACGCGTAGAATCAGCGGCGAATCAGCGGTATGACCTGGTGCAGATTTCCTTTCCTTCGGCGAAGATCTACGGCGAAGAATCAGCGAATTATTGCAAGAGGAATCAGTGGATTATCGCACGAAGAAGTTTTGGATGGGGAAACGCTTGAGGGGGAGAGGGGAAGAATCGCTTCTGCGATTTTTACGTATAAGGGGACACGTGTAAAGAACTGACGTGTAATTCTATTAGAGTACTTCAAGTTGCCACATGTCAAATTTCTACACATCCAACTCTCAAATATTATATTAAAGGATTTTTGACCATTTTTCCGACAAAAAGAGTGGAGCATTGGTACCTATTTTTCAAACCACGTGGGATATCGAAGCTTATTTCCTATTTTTAATTTATTTTTAGTTTTTCCTCTTTGTTTCTTTCTCTATAGATATTGTTTTTACTTCTTTTTTAAATTTTTTTTCATAATGTTTAAAAAGTTCAAAATTGTTTGTATTTGAAATAAAAAAATAAATGAAGTCAAAAAAATTAACATATATTGCATCTTTCTCAAATTTTAAAAACTCAAAAATAAAAAGCATATCGTTTTTTTGCGATTTGCAAAAGATGAAGAATAGAAAAAGGAAATAAAATTAAAGATAAAATAGAAAAAAAAAAATTAAAGAAAATTAAAACGTACTCCGTATTAAACATTCTCTTGTAAAAAAGGGAAAATATAGTCATCATGTGCACTAATAAAGTTCTTTTTAAAAACATCAAAAAAGTACTTTTTTAAATCTATTGGGTTAAGAAAAAAATATTTTTTTAGACTTACGAAAAATAGATTTAAAAAATAGATAATTCTATTTTTATTTTTAATATTAAAAAATAACCTTTTTTGAACATCCCAATAACAATTTTTGTAGACGTCTAGAAAATGAACTTTATTGGCATATTCAATAGCTATTTTTTAAAAAAAGTTTTGTACAAAGTAACTTTTTATTTTTTCGTTTCTTTTTCCATTTTTAATTTAATCTTATTTTTTCCCCATTTTTAATTTTATTTTTTGAACCTCCCAAAGAAACTTTCATCTTTTTTATTCTGGAAAATAAAAAAAATAAAAATGTTTAATTTGAGATACATGAAGTATGTATTTTTTTTCATTTTTTTACTTTTATTTAAAACTGGAAAAACTTTAAAGTTTTAAAAAATTAGAAACAAAACAAAAAGCTTTTTAAAAAATAAAACAAATAAAAAAAGACATTAAAAAAGGGAAAACCCAAAAAATAAAAGGAAAATGAGCTATGTTGGCTCCCATGGTTTGGAAAATATGCACCAATGCTCTTCTTCCCTAAAAATATAATTTGAAAAAATGGTCAAAAAATGGTGAAAAACTATTTAACCAATATTTTTAATCCATAAAGACAGGGCCGGTTCTGAGAATTTATATGTCTGGGCCGAAACAGAAAAAAGACTCTAAAAATCTTATCTCTAATGATCTAACAAATTAACATATGTAAACTAATTATATTTAAATGATAATTAACACAATATTATTAGGGAAAAAATGACAAAATTATAGTATTATACCGTAAAAGCTAGCCAGGATTCGAGAAGTTCTCCTTGCATTATTGAGAGCAGATTGATCATATCTTCGCAGTCTATACTCTCTAAAATTTAATCTCGATAGCTATTTTCTTCCTCTTCTTCTACATGTTCATCCTCTTAGCTTCTCTATTTGTAGATGCTCTTGCTCTTCCATCTCTTTTACTTCTACTTTTTTGTCTTCAGCAACAGGTTTCATAAACTTATAAAATAATTCAACAAATGATAATGTTCAGCCTTAACTTTTATTGATAATAATAGCAATCTTCTCTTTGAAACTTCAAAGGTAATCCAAAACCAGACGATAACAAATTCATTTTTAGTATATAAACCTTCTTATCAACTTTGTTTGTTGCTTCTCCCTAAAAATTCATAAAAATGTTAGAGGTATGTAAACCTTCTCTCCAATATGTAAGTTCGTGGGGGTGCAGCGGATAACAGCAAACACAAGCTATGCAAACAAAACAATCAACTATGTTGTAGAGAAGACGCTGCAGCACTGTCCAGTAACAGATGACGGACAGTGTGTTATAACACTTCTCTGTCACAAGCACACACGTAAAATATGAAGTAAAAACAGCAAGCAAGACACCAGAATTGTTCACGCAGTTCGGAGCAATAAGAGGATGCAGACGTTCCGGGTGCAGGCACATTATCGGGAAGGTGATTTAGTGGCATTCTTAATGTGTTAGTTAGTGTTGTCTTGGAAGATTACATAACTAAACAGATGAATGCTTACTGAACTGCTGTTTGAGCCAATGCGTCTATCTCCACGGCTTGTTACACCTTCTCAAAGATCTTCTTCAAGGACGTAGATTTCAATACACCTTCAAATAAAGATTCTTCTTGATCTACAAAAATATGCAGGCTGTTCAGAAGCTCATAACTCAAGATTGAACCGTTGAAATTCGATCTCCACCGTTCAGATTGAAGCTCCACGAGTCCTTAGACTCCTCCTAAAATTTCAGCACGATCAGACAAGAGTTGGTACTCCAACCATCGAGAAAACCAGGGCAGTATTTTCTGCAAAAAATCAGCAACGATGTGTAGATTGTAACTTTGATAACAAAAGATCCGTAACTCCGATTGACGTGAAATTTTAACACGTTGAAGCTCTATGTGTTGAGAACACCCTCTGAAAAGTTCAGCAAAATCCAACGGTCGGATCTTCAGCGATGATCAAATCTGTGCGGCTGTCCAGAAACTTTGCACTGTCTAATTTTGCACCTTATTTTTCTTTTTGATCGAACTTGATTCAGTTTCTTCGTAGGTTTGCACGTCCAAAACCCTAAGGGAGGGTGAAGATAATATATAGAGCATATTAACCTTGTTAGAGTGTGCTTAGGAGTCTCAACCATGCCTTCCTCCTCAAGAATAGTAAACCAAGTAGGATTAGACTTCTTTCTTCAAGCTCTTTCCTCTTTCTCTTTCTTCACATGCTAGAACTCTAAGTCTAAATAAAATATCTAAAATAAATCTAGGTAAATCTATTCGTTTGTCAAAAAATAATGCCAACACAATATGGAACTAACAATCTCCCCCTTTGGCAATTTTTTGACAAAAACGAATCTCAGCTGTTTTGAACCTCTTCTCCCCCTTTTTTGCATAAAAAATGCCAAAGGTTTTATTAAGAATATGGGGCAAAAAGAGAAGAGTAACATTCAAGCGAGCTTGAGCATTACAATAATGAATATTAAAATAGACCTAGACTTTGTCACATCCACATGTGCCACACTTGAGCAACTCCCCCTCGGACGATGCATCTTAAAAATTAACAATCTGCCAGAAGAAAAAAAAATATGTCTACAACCAGCAAAACATCTATGCTCTAAGGTATTCCACGCTGGAGATGAAACACCTCTTAGAGCATCCTCTAAATCAGGTAGAGATGGGTGTGCACAGACCCAAGCGGGATCTGAGTATACCAAACCGATTCCCATCAAATGCTCTTTTACACTTGCCCAACGCCCGTTTTTTCATAGTCATAAACTTCTCACTCTCATGACTAGGACGTGTCACTTCATCACACTTATGAGATGATTCAGCACTCTTAACAGCACAGCGATCTATTTTCTTTTCTTCTAGATGCAAGCTTTCACTACTAACATGGCATTGATCAGAAGCAACATCTTTCACACAAGGATTATCACCTTTTTTGTACTGATTCTTAGGTACCCAAATCATCCTTGTTGTCACATTCTTTTTTCTGTGTCTTTGCTCTTTAAAAATCTTGCATTTCCTCTGAATGTGTCCCCTTATTCCACAGCAAAAACAAACATAATTAGCATAGACATTCGTATAAGAATACCTTTCAGGTTTAGCATAATGATCCTTGTGTCTTCTCATACTAGATTGTGTCACAACTCTTTGCCTTTTTGCATAAGGTGCTGCATAAATTGTTCCAGCAGAAGCTTCATGAGATGCTTCAGCGGGTTTGGCAGAAGATGTTCCAGCAGATGCAGCAGCTTTTGTTTTCCTTCCTTGTGGGGTTTTTTGAGCAATTTCCTTTCTTCGATCAACAAACAAGTCAAGTGGAGTCTTATTGCTTTCGGAACCTGAAAATCCGAGACCCGTCTTGTCTCCATAAAATTTTGAAACGTTCACTTGTTCCTCAATAGCTTTTGCTCCAGCACTTCTCATCCACTTATGAAAGTTTTTGAGTTGATTTAATTCATACTTGAGATCTGATTGTTGCCCTTCTAAGTCTTCAATATTCTTTTCTAGTTCTGAAATACTCTCTTTTAGTCTGTTGCGCTCAGCAACAAGCTGATGATTCTCTAAGACAGTTTTCTGGTTGGCTTGAACAAGTTCTACCCACTTCCTTTGGAGAATGACTAGCTCTTCTGCGGTGTCATCTTCTGTATCATCCTCTGTGTCATCCTCTGCTGTAACTTTACCTTTGTATCTCTGTAACTCTTTGATGAGTTGTTCCACATCGCGTTTTGATTCAGCAAGTTCACGTTCGAGGCTATCATTTTCCAAACATTTTTTCTTGTTGACCCGTAGAGACTCTTGAAATTTTTCTTCAACAATTATAAGCATCTCCCTTGGATCTACGTCACTATCAGAGTCACCATCAACACTATGGAAAGTTGGAAAAGCACACCCTGTTCCAGCACTGTCTTTAACACACTGCTTCTCTTTTTCAACGAGGATGACATGCTGCTTTTTACACCGTAGATCTTCATGCATCTCCAACTCAATGGTTTCTAAGTTCCCCATCAGCTCGTCAAGAGACATAGTATTTAGAGATTGTGTTTGTCTAATAGCTTTGACATCCATGGAGTATTTTTCTGGAAGAGAACGTAGAACTTTCAACACCAGCTTGTGTTCTGTAATTGGTTCACCAAGCCTTTCAGCCTCATTTGCCAACTCTCTAACTCGCCCATGAAAGTTTGTGATAGACTCAATATCCTCCATCTTAAGATTTTCAATTTTAGACATCACGATCTGAAGTTTGGCTGTCTTGACTGTTGTAGTGCCTTCATGAGTAATAAGCAAAATGTCCCAAGCTCTCTTAGCCTCTGTGCAATTTGAGATAAGACGGAACTGATTTCTGTCAACCGCTCCGAAGATTGCATTCAAAGCCTGATCATTCGATTCTGCAGCATCCTTTTCTTTCTTGCTAAATCTTTCATAAGGTTTCTGAATTAGTTCTCCATCTGTATCGGTCATAGTAGGAGCTGACCATCCAACCTCTATGCTTCTCCAAACCTGTCCACCAAGAGACTTGAGAAAGGCTCTCATTCGACACTTCCAAAAAGTATAATCATGGCCGCATAATAGTGGAGGTCTAAAGACATTAGCACCTTCTTGAATATCTCCCATGGTGATAGATCAATCAAGCCAATAACTTAAGCTTGCCAAGCTCTGATACCAATTGTAAGTTCGTGGGGGGTGCAGCGGATAACAACAAACACAAGCTATGCAAACAAAACAATCAACTATGTTGTAGAGAAGACGCTGCAGCACTGTCCAGTAACAGATGACGGACAGTGTGCTATAACACTTCTCTGTCACAAGCACGCACGTAAAATATGAAGTAAAAACAGCAAGCAAGACACCAGAATTGTTCACGCAATTCGGAGCAAATTATCCTACGTCTGCAAGGCCCACGTCCGTGTAATAGCCCTTCCACTAAATCACCGTAAGAATTACACAATCAATCACAACAGAACCTTCTAATGTATTGATTTGTCTACTTACGAATGACTTAACGACAAACTCGGTTTGCGTCTATCTCCACGGCTTGTTACACCTTCTCAAAGATCTTCTTCAAGGACGTAGATTTCAATACACCTTCAAATAAAGATTCTTCTTGATCTACAAAAATATGCAGGCTGTTCAGAAGCTCATAACTCAAGATTGAACCGTTGAAATTCGATCTCCACCGTTCAGATTGAAGCTCCACGAGTCCTTAGACTCCTCCTAAAATTTCAGCACGATCAGACAAGATTTGGTACTCCAACCATCGAGAAAACCAGGGCAGTATTTTCTGCAAAAAAATCAGCAACAATGTGTAGATTGTAACTTCGATAACAGAAGATCCGTAACTCCGATTGACGTGAAATTTTAACACGTTGAAGCTCTATGTGTTGAGAACACCCTCCGAAAATTTCAGCAAAATCCAACGGTCGGATCTCCATCGATGATCAAATCTGTGCGGCTGTCCAGAAACTTTGCACTGTCTAATTTTGCACCTTATTTTTCTTTTTGATCGAACTTGATTCAGTTTCTTCGTAGGTTTGCATGTCCAAAACCCTAAGGGAGGGTGAAGATAATATATAGAGCATATTAACCTTGTTAGAGTGTGCTTAGGAGTCTCAACCATGCCTTCCTCCTCAAGAATAGTAAACCAAGTAGGATTAGACTTCTTGCTTCAAGCTCTTTCCTCTTTCTCTTTCTTCACATGCTAGAACTCTAAGTCTAAATAAAATATCTAAAATAATTCTAGGTAAATCTATTCGTTTGTCAAAAAATAATGCCAACACAATATGGAACTAACACAATAATTCATAAATAATGTTTTCCAAAATGAATAAAATAGAGAATTTTTAAATTAAACCATATATCATCTAAGAATTATCCAAGAGAGTTTGTACTAAAAAAGTTATTGCATCATAAATGATGATAATTTTCAGAGTAAATAAGATATTTTATTTTTAAATTAAATAACAATAAGAGAAGACGTATCGGAGAGAGAGAATTTCAGGAATTTCGAGTTTCCTTGCATAAATTTTCACTTTCCTTGGTTAAAAGAGACCACAAATTTCTGCCATATACTTTCCTTCTGCAAAAGAGGCGTGTTTTATTTTTATTGGAGAAGTTATGAGGCCTTAAGCATTTTCCAAATGGCATGTTCTAAGAAATTACCTTACACGTGTCAAAAAATGAGACTTTAAGCATTGCCAAATGGCACATTCTTAGAGCATGGAGTCTCCTTTATTATAGTAAAGGATTTCAAAACGGGCCCTTGAATTGCATGACTCCAAGCCGTGTGGAGAGTTGACAATCCTCCATATCGTGGTTAAGGAAATGAATCGACTCGGCCTTTGATTGATTTTTTTTATTCTTAAGTGCGTAAGTTACGTAATATATTGTCTACGTGTCTATTATACGTGTAATGTTGAACTCGTGTTTGTTCTCTTTTTTCATTTTGTCTCGGGTTCTTGGCAGTGTTTCTTGGGTTACCTTTATTGGAGAAGTAATATCTTTTGAGCTTATTTCCCCCATTTTATCAAAAAAATCAAAAAAATAAGAAAAATAAAAAACCAAAAATATATTTACTTTTCATCCAACACCCCCCTCCCCTAATGTGTTTAGTGTTATAAGTTACTCCCTCCGTCCCCCAGAGATCTTCTCAATAGCCTTTTTTCTTTGTCCACAATACATCTTTTCATTTCATTTTTTAACAATTAAAATACCATAACTACCCCCACTTACTTTATTTATTACACCTCACCCACCCCATTTAATACACTCCACCCATATTTCATTAAGGGTATTATGGTAAATTTTCACCTTTTTTCAACTCTCCTTAAAAATCACCAAAAGTCAAAATGAGAACATCTTAGGGGGGACGGAGGGAGTATATTATAAGTTCTTTGTTTATATAAGTTATATTTATAAGTTTTCATATTTATTTAGTTATAAGTTTTATAAGTGTTATAATATGTGTAGTAGTTAGTTTATTTTGTTTAGTGACAATGTGTGTGCATGCTTAAATGATTTCAAAAGTACAAACTTTCTTTGTGGGATCGACCCTTACTGGCCCTAGCTATAGTTTTTATTTGATTATCTATTGGGGGTTAGCTAAGAATATTTTATAAATTTTTAATTTGTTTTAGACCTTACGACAAGTCCTCAACAGATATCGAATAAAGTGAACATACCCATGATGACATCATTAGCCTGCGGATCTGTACGCCCTTGCATGGCATACGTACGAGCTGGTGCTCGTCCTTGCTGCTGACTGGATGCTGGCTTCTTCAGTTGGTTAGACGCAGCCGTGGAACGATGACTCTAGGTACGTTCGGCCCGTCGGACAGTAGAACCACCCGGCGTGCCTAGTGCTGTGAAGAAAAACCTCGCTTGGATTCGTCGGGCAATCTTTTCGAAAGTGTCCTAACTGACCACACTCGAGGCAAAGACCCTGTGTAAGCCAACACTCACCAGCATGCCTGCGGCCACAGAGTGAACATATAGGATTACGATACGTCACTTTCTCTTTCCCGCTCTTACTAGTGACAGCCACAGATGCAGAGGGGGTAGATTTGTCTTGCTTATCATGGCGAGAGTTGCTCGGTGCGGAGAAGGTCCTGTTGCTACCATGCCCCATCTTCAGGCACGATTGGACGGCCCGACTTTCTGCCAGCAATGCTTGGTCGTATGCAGCTTTCCTGATGAGTTCCTGATTCAGCTCAAGAGCCTTCTTGTAGACATCATTGATGTCAGCTCGGGGAACAATTATGAGTGATGATGACAGGTCTGGTCTCATACCCTTGATGAACTTCTTGCAGCGCTTTTCCATGGTGTTGACCAAGTCTTTACCAAACTCGGCCAACCCGTCAAACTACTGACGGTACTCTGGGAGAGTCAGCTTTCCCTGGGTGAAATTGGAGAATTCATCATATTTGGTCTCGACGTAGTGATCGGGCACATACTCTGCTCTGAAGAGCGGATCGAAGGTATCCCATGGTACCGGCACGGGAATGTTGGCGCCCACTCGCTTCCACCAATCATAGGCGGCATCTTGCAACAGGGATATGGCGTGCTGTCCCCAATCCTCGACAGGTACCTTCAAATTCTCCAGTACCCTCACTGTGCGTTCTTGCCAACGCTTGGCTATCAGAGGATTCGCTATCTGATCGCCACAGAATTCCTGCGCCCCATTCCTTTTGAGTTTCTCAATCGAGATGATGGGTACAGGCGGTGGTGGAGGAGGCACATGTGCTCCAGCCATCTGCTGGAAGAACTGAAACATGTTCGCAACCATTTGTGGTTGGAACATCGGAATGGCTAAATTCGGGTTCTGACCCGCGAACTGCTCCTGAACTGGCTGAGGTTCCGGCTGAGGCTGTTGTTGCTGGGGTAAGTAGCTAGAAGCTTCAGTGTGCACCGTATGAACACTAACATGCTCAGGCTCCGCGTGGGGGTTTGCCTGACCGTGAGTCGAGTCCTGACTCATTCTATAATTAATTTAAAATACAATTAGTCATAAGTAAACTAATTGTTTTACCTTCCCGGGCAGAGATGTGGAGAGATGCGGACTTGTGTTTAAAACTCTTTTGATTTGACTTCCAAAATCATTTTTTTAAACCAAATACTCTGATACCAAAATGTAACACCCCAACTCGAATAACCCGATTACCTAGATTATTTGAGCCGGAGTAGTTACCCTAATGGTAATTACGCATGATAATTTTAAGAATAATTTAAAACCAATTAAAACTTTAATATAAATGATAAATTCAAATATTAAATTCAGAGTAATGTTGAAACAGTGCGGAAGCTTAAATATAAAATATAATTAAGTCATATTACATTTTATGGGAACTCGCCCGAAAAGGTAATTTATTTAAATAAAGCATCATAAATGCGGTCCACCAGTCCGTACATCTCATCACTCTCATTGACCTCCGGGATGGGCTCCATGATCAGTATTGTTACCTGCGTGTAGCAAGTAAAAACAAACTACACGCTCAACGTCAGCTGAGGAATACGCTAATACAACAATTCCAAGTTGAATAGCAAGTAGACTGGATGGTGACGGCGGTTCTCGGCTCGGCAGGCGACGGTCGACCATTGGTCAACGGCGGTCGACCGTTTGTGTGACAGTCGCGCTCCGTTTCGATGTTTAACGCGACGGTTGACCGTTTACGTCGACCGTTCGGGTCTGCGAATCTTATTTTTGATATTTTTGGATATCTAAAATACTTCTTTGAGTTATTTTAACATCTATGATTAACATATCTATGTATTTGAAGTATTTCTAACACTTATATATTCATGAAGGGCAAAGTATTAAGAAAAACATATTTTAAGTTTATGAGTTTGATGGGTTTGATCTTAAAGCATAAATGACTTATAATATGGCAATCAATCCTAATGATATATCTAGATTGATATTCAACCAAGGATTGCGTTACTAGGGTGCAATGTACTCGCCTTGATATCGTAGAGGTCGGAAAGATAGAAATATAATAATACGCCTCAACGAACATTCAACGTACGGTCACCCCTATCAACTTCGAGCTTCCAACGCCCAATCTTCTTGAAAATAACCTCCGGAAGTTCCTAATAACCACGAGAGAGTTGATGGTAAGTATTTGGAAAGAAACGATGTGAAAATGATGAAGAAACATAGCCAACCCGAGGAGCTCTCCACCACTGGAGCAGTCTAGGTATTTTGGCCATATCTCCTTCGTTACTTAACGAAATCACAAACCGTTTGTTGGGTTGGATTCGTAACGTCCGGGGCTACGATTTTGGTATAATAAATAATTCGAGAAAATGGATAGAAAATAACAGAATTTACGAAGAAGTTGCTGCTGCGTTTGAACTCAGGAGTTTTGGACTTGAACACCTCTTCTTGTTTCTCCTTCTTCTTCCTTTGGTATGATAATGGAGTTGAGACCTCTTTTCTCCTTCCTTGAAGTCTGGCCGAGAGAGAGAGAGAGATGGAGAGAAATTATGAGTGATGTGTTGAGAATAATGGTGATGATTAAGATAAATTTGGAATGATATATATGAAAGATTGGAATTATTAGGTAGTGGAGGAGTTAGTGGTTTGGGTGGCTAATTGAAGATTTGAGGGCAGATATGGGCTGCATGATTGAGAGACTTTTGGGGAATTAAAAATATTCTCCCACTCCGTAATTGATAAACTGGCTAAAACGATACGCGCTTTTTCGCCCAAACTGTTCCAAATTGAGAACTGATCGCATATTTGGATCAAAACTAAAATTTTGATATAATTAAAATATTTTTCTGAAAACTTTTATTTTTCAGTGTTTGGGTCTGTCTCAGTCGTTAATTAATATTTTAAATTAATTAATTCTTTTAGGCCTAATTTCAGGGCGTTACAAACACATAACCAAAGATAACCATTAGAAAAAAAAGAAATACTCCGTAGTTGTTTATGCCTTTTAAATCAAGTTTATTGACATTTTCACATCTTTTTTAAAGTAAATTTTTACAACATGCAATGAAGGAAACAAAAGGCACACATAAAGCATTTAAGTACAAATATTTTTCCATCACTGAACCATTTGTAATATGCATGTTGGGCTCATAAATATTATTTTCGTTTTTTCCATCACTTAACAGTTTTTTTGAACATTAAAAATATTTTTAAGTACTCAGATTGTATTTAATATTTAATTTTAAATAAGATCAAGATATAATTCATGTTTAGCTAGATAATTTCATACTTCAAAAACTACAACTGCGGAAAATATTAAAGTGAAAGAAACCAACCTTACAAATATTTGTAATCTTCTTGCTTTGAATTTCAACCACGACCGTCAAAGGCAAGGCAGCGACAAAGTTACTAAATCTCTTTCCAACAAAATAAAGAAATGGTTACAATAGATGAAAATAAAAATACTTTTACTGATTCGAACCAAAGTGGATATTAGGACTCGAGCTCCATCAATCATCAATGGTTGCAAATTCATTCAATCTAGCTCGAGAGGGGAAACAAAAAGCTAAATTACAATTTAAAACTATCACTACAAGAATTTATCTGATCTGCAACGAAAATCTGCTACGGACACATATTCGTAGCAGATCTGCAACGAATCTGCGACGGAGTAATAATTTATGAAAGAGGAACACTATCTGCGACGGAACTTTTGTTTTTGTCGCAGATCTGCTACGGAATAAAATGAGGTAAACATTTCGTATAATCTGCAACGGAATCTGCAACGGACTTATTTCCGTTGCAGATAATTAATTAAAATCGGGTTATCCATCTGTAGACGAAATCAGTTCACAGATCCAGACATCCAGACCCAGCCATCTTCCGTCCACCCAACTTCGACCGACACATCTCCTCCGCGGCTTTCCTAGACCGCCGGACGCCGTCGCACGGTTTGTTGACGTCGTGGCGCTCGTCCTCCTTGCCTCGCCGTCGACCGCGCAGCCAGTGTCTCCCTCCTCGCCTCGCCTTCGACAGCCAGTGTCTCCCTCCCTCCTCGCCGCCACCGCTAGTGTCTCCACCCCTCGCCGCCGCCAGTGTCTCGACCGCCATCTTCCCCCACCCACCTGACCTCCTCTTCCTCTCAAGGTATTTTAGTTTAATTTTATACAATTTATTACTCCGTATTATTGTAATTTTTTGTGATTCTCCATTCTCTGCCCTTTCCTCTCTTGCTAGGGCCACTCCAATCCTCCTCCCCAGCCGCTTCTCGATGCCGCCCCTCATTCCGTCCCTTTTCCTGTGCACCGGAATTGGCTTTGATTCCATCTCGCAAACCCTAGGGCAGGTTCGATTCTTCAAAGTGTCTTCGCGATGATTTTTAGTTGATGTTTACTTGTTTAGATTCTGGATTATGCAAGTGATGCCAATGTATATGGTCTGACGACCATTCCTCAGTGTAAGACACTTAGGCACTCTCGCTTGTGGTTAATTTTGTGTATTTCTTGGTTCTGTTGTTTCATCTTCGACTAAAGAACAAGAATCTGAGCTCAATTTTGTTCTTTTGTGGCTGTTTTGCTCTATTGCAGGTAAAGTCCCTCGCTATTACTGTTCATCTTGTTAATTTATAGGTCTGATTGTTCTGTTATTCAAGCTCAATTGAAATCTGATTTGTTACAGATCTCAAGTGACTTGGAAGCCTTTCTCACATTCTTAAGTTGGTTCATATTTCCATTCGAAAACTTGTAAGATTCAAGCAATTATCAGATTTTGCATACACTATTCACATCATGGTGTTTCCTCCCAGATTTCCCAGGTTTTTGCCTGTGTTTTCTCTAACTGATTGATGTTTTCTGGACGTGTTTTAGGGACTTTTCATGGCTAATAATTGGATTCCATTGATGTTTGTGTGGTTTAAGTTTAGAGTACATAGTTTGTAAAGGCTCCCTACCACCCACTGAAGCAGTATATGGTCCAAAGCAATGAAGAAAAGATGGATTAGGGGCCTACAAGCTTCATTACTGATCAATATTTCTCGCGATTGAAATTGAAAAGGTATTAATTTCACCAACTTTATTCAATCAGTTTACCATGAAAATGGCTGGGAATGATGTTGGGAACATCCCTAAAGGCTACTCATTGGATATGTCCAAAAATTTTGTCCCAATGTGTACTTTCTCTGAGAACAATTAATCAAGGTGACTGTTAATGTTTTTCAAATTCTAACAATTTTTTAATGATTAATAATTTATTTTCTACATTTATTCGGCACGATGATGTCTCTATTTGATTAAATTGTTACCCATGGGTTTGGGGGGACATCACAAGTAAGGTGGGCTTAATTGGTAGAAGTGAGGTATGTGTACACTTTCCCTCTTTGTTTCCAACTCGTGGAACCTTACTAGCTTGCTGGCTTGTTGTTATTGTTTTAATTTTGATTTATAAACTGGATATGTTTTCTGTCATATTGGCTTATGTATCATAGAGATGCACTAGGTAATGCATTTTTCTTGAATAGATACGCTTTGTGATGTCTCATCCTTTGCTCGCTCAGTTACAAATCTGATTTTTCTTCGGTTTTATTTCAAAGGGATTTCGTGTTGCTTGCGTATTTAGCTAGGATTTGTTTCTATGATTTTTTATGGCACGATTAATGATGCTGAGGCGAGGAGGTGAGGTTTTGAATCAGCTTGGTAAACACAATGAACTAAAGTTGTTTTTTACCAAGAATAATCTAATTAAACATGGCCCATCCTATTATCTGTGACTTCATTAATTTATACCTATTGTTGGATTTGTGATAATAACAACCGCACCATGGGTGATGATATTTCAAGAGAGTTGTTAAACCTTGATTGGGGTTAAAAATGCTTGTTCTTGCTGTTCTTGACGCTATAATTGTTACGTTGTTATTAACTTTCATATATTGCAGGCCCAATTCTTTGAACTGCGTGAGGAGGCTTGACAGAATGGGCTTAAAGGCTAGACAGAATGAGCTTGTAACTGACGATTCAGGAGGAGATAAGGAAGTTATATGGTGGTAACCTTCCTCTACGAGGCGATGATGATGGAACGGGAGGGGCAGGGCAGACCGGGATTTGTTGACACCTTTGACATTTGACACTAACACTTTAATATTTAGTGTTTTTACAATATTAAGAATTATGTTACACTTGCACGTGAAGATTGTATTAATCTAGTTTTGAATTATCTATTTCGTATTGAAATCTTATTTAGAATTATGTGTGTGAAAAATTGAATGTGTTTTGCCCGCCATTTTAATAGCTACTGCCTAAAAACAATAAAAATTTGTGTGTGTGATCAGGTGATCTGCGACGGCAAAATCTGTCGTTGTTTTTGTTGCAGATCTGCAACGGCTATTTCCGTCGCTATGTCTGTCGCAAATCTGCCACGGATTTTAAATTCCGTCGCAGATTCTTGGGGTTGCAAAAAAAGACGAACCCGTTGCAGGTCCGTTGCAGATCTGCCACGGATTTTTAAATCCGTCGCAGATTTTAAATCTGCCACAACTTTTCTGCGACGGAACATTTTCGTTGCAGATCCGTTGCAGAAGTGAAATCTGCCACGGAATTTCAAATTCTGCAACGGAAATTTTCCGTGGCAGATCGGCAGTTTTCTTGTAGTGTATATAGCTAAAATATTGTAAGTAAGATTGAATGAACCATAAATGAAACTTATTCATTTGTGTGTTATTAACATACATACATTAGTATTAGCAAACTTCTACTGTCCCCTATAATCAAAATTGTATACTACCTTTGAAAGATGGCCAAATGGTCGGATTCAATCTGAGTGCATATTCAAAAGAAACAAAATTAGTTACATTAAAAAATATACATCATATTTTTTCATCCATACATCATAATTAGAACCCATAATTAAAACTATGTACTCCATTCCAAAGATGACAGTCATGGGACAATTCTATTTCATATCAAACCCAACATAGTATTTAAAAGTGAATAGTATGATATACATTAAACAACATTACATTCAATATATGAATATCATTTAAGAAAAAGTCAACAACCAACCTCCAAGATAACGATTAAACTAAAGAAAAGAATCCATTTACAATTATAAACCAAGAGTGGGCCGAGTTCGTTCAAAATGAAAAATAAGGTAAAAAAGTAATCTTCATCAACAAACATTCATAACTCAAGAGCTAATACTTCTTCCAATCGTACTTCTTCCTTATTCGGGAAGAGAGACAAGACAAACTTTACATACAAATGCAAGGTATTTTTAACTTTAAAACAAATCTAGTACCAAGAATACCCAAATCCCTTAAAAAATCAAACTCAAAGAATGCCAACAGAGCTACTAATCTCATATTTCAAGCATAAATTATGATATGCTAACACAAAACTATGCATTTAGGGTTAAGTGAATGCTACCTTAAAAGACCTGCTTATGGTGCAATTCGGATCAAATCCTTGCTTCTAAAAAATCTGCAAAAATTGTGGAAAAAATATCAAACACAAAGAATTGAAGAAACTAATCCCTATAAATTTAATTTTGGAAGAAGGCATATAAGAAAAGAATGGATGGCTGACCTGAGTTTAGGGGAGTGATGAGAGCAGCTGTGCAAGGACGGTTCTTCGGCCTCTCCTCTTTTGTCTTACCAATGGAGAGGAGTGCATTGACAGCATCGCTTGAACTCCAACCATATTGGCATCGTCGACATAAAAGTTCTAGTGACAATAGATCATCTCAAATTAGTTAACCCTAATACACTATATATTCATGAAAAAAGCACAGTGACAGTGTTTAGTGCCCGATAACCTTCCTGTCTAAACCTTCTTAGTTCTTACAAAGGAACAATGAGAGGAAATTCTAATTTCTTATCATCATAAGATTTTTCAACTTTTATGCAGAACATAATAAGATGGTGGAAGAGAATCGCTGAAAGCAAACCTAATAAATTGCTACAAGATCTTCATTCGGAATTGAGAGAGGAGACGACCTGCTCGGCCAAGACGCCGGCGATTTGCTCGGCCAAGACGCCGACGAAATTGAGAGAGGAGACCGGAACACGATTATCCTTTTTTATTTACTCTGTATTTTACCGAGAAGCTGACCGGAACACGATTCTCCACACAGCCATGCCTTTTTCTTTTTCGCACGGGACTCAAAATATAATTATTGCTCTGTAAAAGTGTACTTGTTGCGCAGGCCTTTTATCCCTTCAATGCATAGCCCATAAATTGACGAGCCCAATTGATGTCTCCAATCCAAAACCGCTTACACTCCCCAATTTTTTTTAATAATTACCTACGCCGCTCTATGCAAAACAGCCTCTCTATGTTAAATTCCCGCAGTAAGAAAAACTTTGGGAATAAATTCCTAATTGTAGGATTGAATTCCTGAAAGGGAAGATTGGGATTCAATATCCCGAAAAATTTTTTTTTAAATAGGGCCTACAAAAAATGGGATTCAACATCCCAATTTTTTTGAAAAAGTTTTTCACTTTTATAGGTGAGATTCCAACTTTAGGCATGTGAGAATGGTTTTTTAATGCATTATAATAGTTGTATCCGCATGTATCCATCCTTAAATAGAAAAGTTAGGTTCTTTTTTCATTTAAGTTTTCTTCCTCTACAACTCTCTATATATGATAATATAGCCAAAAAAAAAATATTTTTGATTACAAGATTTAAGAATCCAAAAGAGTAAAAGAAGATCTTCTTCTTTTGGAAGGTATGTAGTGTTTTACTTATCTTTTTTTGTTTCATTAGCTATTTAATTATTAAAAAGTCCCACCATTTCCATTTCTATTACGATTTTTTTCTTTTTTTTCGATAACTTAAGTTTAATTATGCAATTCATTAAGTATTTGATAAAATAAAAGATTATTGTCACCTCTTGTCTTTTAGAACTTTTGACGTAGTTTTTTTTAATTAGAAATTTTTATTTTTTATTAATATACCAATTTATAAATTAAATGATCTAAAAAAGTGAAAATAAGTGAGAATATGATAAAGTAGAAAAAAAGTGACATAAGTTGTATTTAAAAAATAACTTATTTTATATGTATTAGTGTGATGGATGAAGTGCAAAGAGATCTCGCTGGACCAAAAAGTTTAGAAATATTAAATTTACAAGCGGCTCATCGTTCTCTCCGTATTTGGAATGACCCGACATATATTGATGCAAAAGTAGAACCGTGTCGGTATGATGGTCATATCCCTACAAATTTTACAGACCCAAGGGTGATTGAGAATCTACGTAGAGCTGGATTTTATGGGGTCCACCGAGTTCATCCCATTAAATTAGATCATGGCCTCATCACTACATTGATGGAGCATTGGAGGCCTGAGGTACATGCATTTCATTTCCCATTTGGAGAAATGGGTATAACTTTACAAGATGTAGAGTGTCTTATGGGGTTGCCAATTGATGGTTTTCCTATTCTGGGTGCGCCACCCATGACTCCCGAAGAACGAGATGCAGCTTTTCGTACCTGATGGTGTAAATTACTTGACCGGTCAAACTATACTAGATCGGGTCTAGAATAGTCTGCTTGGTTTGGTAAAGTAAAGAAAGTAAAAACACTCAGACTGACCGGTAGGACTTTAGGTGGAACACCTATAGCCCAATTTATATTATAACAGAGAATGCACGGGTGCTTTTACAATGGAGTTTAGAGAGAATGAATTCGGATCCCTCTTTCTGATGTTTACATGAGTATTTATACTAGGCTAGGGGGGACAGGACCACGTGCACCCACGTGGAGGCGCGCTGCTCGGATGGTCAGAGGTGATGGGCCTCGCCTTCTAGTCACCTTGTCACCTTGTGAGGGGAATTATTCCCTTTGTCAGGTATTGCCTTGGATGGATTCCTCAAGCATCTCCAGCAATCCTTGACTGACATGGGTCACTACAGTCCAAACCCTTTTAGATTCCCTTCTGCCGACGCTTTTCAACCTTAGAAATTGCACCGGGTAATTTTCGAAGGATGAGTGTATCGAAATTGGGAGCTGATCCGAGTGATAAAGTATTTCGACCGGTATACTTTTTCGCGAAGTATACCGGTCATAGTTGGACCAGCTAAATACCAATTTGCTGACGATTTAAGTCTCTTTCCTCAACTTTCAAGATTGACCGGTCAATTTATTTGGTCTTCTCCTTTGACCGGTCGTGGGTGGAATACACCCATCAGTACCATTCTAGGTTGGGAGCCAAATGAGGCACATTTTGGACGTCCAGACCAGTTTAAGATTCCTTTGTTAAGCCGGGGGTTGCAACCAAATGCCCAGTGGAATGATTTTCATGTCCATCAGTACACTGCTCAAGTTATATATGGGTATTTAGGTGGTCTTCTCTTTCCAGACACATCCGGAAGGTTTGCACCCACTGACTTTGTATTGTTCCTAGATGATTTTGATCGGACTTCTCAATATAGTTGGGGATTAGCTGTTTTGGCACAGCTTTACAATAGTTTATGCCGCACAGCACTAAAGAAGAACGATCGAACTCGACCAGGAGGGTGCTTACTTCTACTTCAGTTATGGGCCTGGTCACGCTTGTTGCCTATCCGACCTAAGGTGAAGATTCAGGCTAATTATCGCCACGGACCTCCTGCGATTGACGAACCTCATGGTGCTAGGTATTAATATCTACTATAATTTAGTTTACGTTCTAATGCATTTCACAATGGTAATTTTACTTTAATGGTTTCTATGCAGGTTCAGATCTACAAAAGTTTACTCTAGTACAGCCCGACAGAGTGTTCGTTATTTCCGAGACCAATTTGATGGTTTATTGCATCATCATGTATGTTATATTTTACACTAATTGAGTATTAGAATTTTTAGTGTAATCTTTGCATCATTATAATGTGTGTTTACAATGCGTATTCTACGAGATTGATGGGTATCGATAGTAATCTCTCGTGGGATTTGTTCTTCGATAAAGCTCAAGTATTAGGATTGCTGGAGATATATGTTTGTGATAATACGCGTAGAGATGATGTTGGTCCATCACGCCTTCCTCAACGATCCATTCCAGTTCCAGCTGCAGATGACAACATTGATAACCCCAATACTGATGATGAAAGTGAGTACAGTGATTCTGATGTTGACGAAACAGAAGAGGGATGGATTTCCCAAATGGAGGCAATAGCGGCTCAGGCTAAACGTTATTACACTTCAGATGTACCCTTGGAGATTGGTATGGTATTTGATAACTTTAAATGCCTCCATGATGCTATTATAAAGCATTGTATCGCACAAAATAAGTTTTGGACTTCCGAATCCAAAAAGGCGTGTTATTGGGTGGTACGATGTTGCAACAAGAATAAAAATCCGCCATGTATTGGGCGGTACTTAAGCACCGCATTTTAAGTATGCGTTTTGGGCATTTCCTGCTGCTATTGAAGGGTTACAATTCTGTTTGCCCCTTGTTACTGTGGATGGTACTCACCTGTATGGAAAGTACAAGGGTCATTTACTTTTGGCAGTGGAAATGAATGGAAATCGAGAGCTTTTTCCTATTGCTTACGCGGTGGTTGATGGGGAAACGTGTGAAAGTTGGGCATGGTTTTTGAGGTTGCGCGTTCAAATTAAAGGGTTATTCGTTCTTTGCAAGTATGTATCATTTCAGATAGGCATGTTGGAATTATCAACGCGTATAGAGATCTTCCTGAACTTCAAACAAGAAGAATAATGAAGCGCTTTTGCCTACGTCACATCCGTAGCAACTTCATGACAAAATTTCGTAACTCAGATCTCAAACGTTTGGTGTGGGCCGCTAGGAGCACACCTAATATCCAAGAATTTCAAGGATATATGGGAGAAATACGGAATGTCAGTGAAGGAGCATATCTATACTTGAATGATATTTCACGTGAAGCGTGGGCTCTATCTTATGATGGTTATTTTAGATGTGGGATTTTGACAACCAATAGTTCAGAGAGTTTTAATAATATGCTTAAGGGTTGTCGGATGTTACTGGTCTAGCCATTTTGAGTATGTCTTATAGCAAAATGGTTGAATCTTTTGCAAAACGGCATAAGACTGTACTCAATTGGCAACAAAAAAAATTTCGTATCACTCCGAAAATTACGAACATCTTACGAAGTCGTGAGCGAACAAAACATAAGCGGACTGTTGCAGACTATGGCAACAACCAATATATTACTAATTGTAACACCCTAATCCGTCCAGGTCTGCAGCCCCTTTCAGACTAAAGTATTAACTTGGTAATCGTAAAATTTAAAACATTTCAAACACTTTTATTTATCACAATAATATTTTCATATCATAAATAGTACAGAGTTTTTTTAATATTGCGGAAGCTTAACAAATCATAACTACAAACATAATTTATTTATGTTCTTTAATTCAAAACCATCACATCCATTCCGACTATCTCGCCTCCGTCTACCTCTAGGATCACGTAACATCATTTTATTGACGTGCGTGTAGCAAATAAAACATACTACACGCTCAGCGGTAAAGCTGAGTAAGCATATCTAATGCGTCGAACATCCACATAAATTGAATCTCAATTCATAATCAACCATTTGATATCATGCACATAATGTTCAGTTCAGATATTCAATAATCAATATTCAATTTTCAACATTCATTATTCAATCATCCAACATGTATATTCATCATTTGTCATTCAACAGTATCCTTAAACTATTCTTAATCTAAGGCCAATCACTTTAATATTTGTCAACCCTTAAATGAATTCTAGTTTAACTAATTAAACTATATTCCAGTATACAGAGTACTCCTAATAATCCTTAAGCTAGGCCTAGTTTAAGATAAAAGGGTTTT